CTCTAAAAGGATGCAAATGACCAGCTGTCTGCAAGGAGTATAAATCCTTCCATTCCCCACCATTCTGTCAGAGCTGAAGAAGCTTCTTGGATGAGAAGCAAAATGTCTTCAAAAGAAAAAAACAAAGAAAGTCCAGTTGCCTCTTGGGAAAAAAAAAAGCACCTTTGGGACAACTGTGACCTGGATGACTGAGAATCTCTCCAGACAATGGAATTGTTTGAGGTCTATGGAGATTCTCAGCCAGCCGGGTCATGGTTTTGTCCCAAAGTTGCTTTTTCAAAAGGCAACTGGACTTTGTTTTTTCTTGAAGATATCTGGATTATTTTTTTTCTGGAAGAGGTTTCACTCCTCATCCGAGAAGCATTCAGTCAGAACTGAGGAGGCTTCTTGGACGAGAAGCAAAACCTCTTCCAGAAAAAAAAAAACCCAAGAAAGTCCAGTTGCCATTTGAAAAAGCAACTGTGGGACTGTCAGGAGTTGTAATAGTATATGAGAAAGACCTTTGGGGGAAAGGTCGAGAGATGCCATCAAGGGAATGGTAGCGTCATGCCCCTGTCGGAATCTGACTTGGAGGAGGAAGCTGAGCAGCTGACAAGGAGTAGGAGTGTGACTCCATTGGCTGTGGAAGAAACTGGGGAAGGGCAAAGTCCAGCTGGACAGAGCAGGGGAGAGGTAGAACAAGGGAGAGGGAATTCAGAGAAAGACCCAGGCCCACCCCCTCTTCATCCTAGGGCACGCAGGGAAGAACGGAGAAGGGAGCAACATGAGTTGCGTGGCTTACAGGGGAGGAAAGGGCCCTGATTCCCTTCATTAGCTGCAGCTGGGAGCACAGTGTATAACAAAGGCAAGCTACGTGCAGCAAGTTGTTGGGAGCAAAAGTCACTTTATCTTGTATCGTAGTGGCTTATCTGTGTTCCTGACGTCTTCCCAACTGTGTTGAGTTATTGCCGTGCATTCAAGTCTGGAATTCTTGCTCCTGCCCTGCCGGACTAATTACTTCAGTTTGGCTTGTTTGGACTTTAAGTTACAGTTTGTGTTGCTTATGTTTTGGACTGAATTCTCTGCAGCCAAAGGCTGTTCCTGGGAGAGTTTTTCTCCAGCCAGAAGGTAACCTGGACATTGAGGACGAAGTTGGAGATAATGAAGGGATTCTTATTGCTTATCTGACTGTGTTGCCTTTGTGCCACGCCACGGTCATCACAGGTTAGATAAGAGACTCCTTAGCCTGCAGCTGCATAATAGGCAGGGCAAGAGGCTTACAAGGGACCCTCCCTAGTTTCTTGGGATGTAAAGGAGACGGGAGAAAAATTCTGTTGATTGCAAAATTCTGTTAATGGAGCTCCACAATCAAGTGGGATTAGCTCATCTGGTTGTATTTCCTGTCTGAGTCCACTCTGATAAACCAGGTTTTCTAAAATGATGGGGAACCTAGAAAACGGGTTAATTCAGGCCCTGCTTCAAACAGATTGCCTGAATAGAGTTTCTGAACTTACTGGAGACAAAACATGTTTATTTCTTTTTATTTCGCGGGAATATTGACTTGGGAAAATTAATCCTCTATTAACAAGCACAATTAACTCCAACATTTCTGTTTCTAAGCAGGACAGTTGTTAGGTGGGTTTTGCCCCATTTTGCGACCTTTCCTGCAAGGCATTAAGTGAATCGCTGGTCGCAAGCGTGAAAAATCCATCACAAATCACTTTCTTCAGTGCCGTTAGAACTTTGAACGGCTATTCCACTGATTTATTTTTTTATTTCATTTAGAAAACTAGACGATAGCTTAGCGTTGCCTGGGTATTTGTTTATCCTTATCCTGTATTAGACAGGAAAACCCTTGATTTCGGCAACAAATGTTTTCCCTGTTCCCCGTTGAAAATGTCCAGAACAAACGTAATTTCTAATGTTGGATTTTCCCTCTTACCAGAGAGAGCCTCCTTGTGGAGTACTGTGGAACTGTTACCATGGCAACTCCACAGCGCTGTACAGTAGAAGCCATTTGAAGGCAGTATGGTAGAAGCCATTTGAAGGCACAACAGGCTGTATCTTAAGAACATATAACCCGAGGGGTGTTAGGGGTGTCTTACCCCACCAGTATTTGTTTCCAGAGAGTAAGTAATCTGTGTACCAAGTTTGGCTGAAATTGCTTGAGGCGTTCCAGAGTTATGCCGGAACAAACAAACACACACACACACAGCCATTTTTTTTATATATAGAAAATTTCTACGGCCGCTGACTTGCATGTGGCGATGCAAAGCAGTGGTTCAAGGAATGGTTGCAATTCAAGGGTTATCTATATTTTAGATCGTTGCTTCCGGCTTACCTCTTTGGTCCATTCAGAGAAAACATGGGTACTGGGGCTCCGAAAATGAATGTTGAGCTCCACGGTACACATCACTACGACTGCAGTCACGAGAAGCATGACGAAGAGCAGGTACCTATTAACCGCATACATGACCATTTACAAAATAGCAAGAGCAAGAGCACTTAGATTTATATACTGCTTCACAGTGCTTTACAGTCCACTCTAAGCAGTTTGCAGAGTCAGCCTCTTGCCCCCAACAATCTGGGTCCTCATTTTATCCACCTCGGAAGGATGGAAGGCTGAGTCAACCTTGAGCCAGTCAGGATCAAACTTCAGACTGTGGGCAGAGTTAGCTTGCAATACTGCATTCTAACCACTGTTCCACTACAGGAGGGAGAGACGGAGGGAGGGAGGGAGGGAGGGAGGGAGGGAGGGAAGGAAGGAAGGAAGGAAGGAAGGAAGGAAGGAAAATAGCACTTAGACTTATATACCTCTTCACAGTGCTTTCACAGCCCTCTCTAAGTGGTTTACAGAGTCAGCCTCTTGCCCCAACAATCTGGGTTCTCATTTTACCCACTTCACAAGGATGGAAGGCTGAATCAACCTTGAGCCTGGTGAGATTCGAACTGCCAAATTGGAGGCCGCTGGCAGTCAGCAGAAGTAGCATGGCTGGCTGGGGAATTCTGGGAGTTGACGTCCACCCATCTTAAAGTTGTTAAGGTTGAGAAACACTGGGCTAAACCAAGTCCTATCACTCATGGCTTTGATGAAATCTCATTTCAATAGAATAGAATAGAATAGAATAGAATAGAATAGAATAGAATATTGGGATGATGATTAGAATAGAGTAGAATAGAGTAGAATAGAATAGAATAGAATAGAATAGAATAGAATAGAATAGAATAGAATAGAATATTGGGATGATGATTAGATTAGAATAGAATAGAATAGAATAGAATAGAATAGAATAGAATAGAATAGAATAGAATAGAATAGAATAGAGATAGGGATAGGGATAGGGATAGGGATAGGGATAGGGATAGGGATAGGGATAAGAATAGAATAGAATAGGGATAGGGATAGGGATAGGGATAGGGATAAGAATAGAATAGAATAGAATAGAATAGAATAGAATAGAATAGAATAGAATAGAATAGAATAGAATAGAATAACAGAGTTGGAAGGGGCCTTGGAGGTCTTCTAGTCCAACCCACTGCCCAAGCAGGAGACCCTATTCCATTTCATGGCTGCCCAGACTCTTCTTAAAAGCTTCCAATGTTGGAGCATTCACAACTTCTGGAGGCAAGTTGTTCCACTGATTAATTGTTCTAACTGTCAGGGAATTTCTCCTTAATTCTAGGTTGCTTCTCTCCCCGTTTAATTTCCATCCCTGTGGAAATCTAGGTAAGAAATGATGTCCGTCCCAATCAAAAAACCTGCGAAGGCTCCCCGATTTAGGGATTTTTATTTAAGATTGGGGAGACTTACTTGCCAATGAGGGGGATGGCGAAGGAGGTGGCTGGGAGACGCTGGGAAATCAGCAGCAGAAAGACAGACTGAGCCAAGAGGATGGAGATTGCTAAAGTCACCTTCTCGCCACCTGGGGAGTTAGATGGGAATTGAACCTCAGAACATGGAAAAAATGAAAAAAAAAAAAAAAAACCTATGCAGGAGGAAGTTATGAAGAAAATTATGGACTGTGCTGAAATGAGTAAATTGACATTTGAAATGAGAGGACAAGAAGATAAACCATTTTATAAGATATGGGACTTATTTTATCAATGGTTAGACAAAAAGACATGGTGATGAAATAGGCTAGGAAATTTTATAAGATAAGATTAATATAGAACGATATAGAATAGAATATAAAAATACATAACCATTGGATGAATCTATAATACAAATTTATAATAAAATGTAGAATATCTCGTATAAAATGATGGAACAATAATTTAGTCAAATGAATGGTGGTTTTGTACAGACCCCGCTGTGCACCTGTGTCACCTCACCTGCAGGAGCTGCATTGGCTGCTGATTGGCTCCCGGGTGCAATTCAAGGTGTGCTGGTTGTCCTCTTTAAAGCCCTTCATGGCTTGGGACCGGGTGATCTGAGGGACTGTCTCTTGCCAGTCACATTTACCTGACCCATCAGAATGGGGGGAGGCAAGGAATGTTGAGGGTCCCATCCCCGAGGGAGATACACCTGGTGGGACCCACAAGAAGGGCCTTCTCCGTGGTGGCTCCTTCTCTCTGGAACCTCATTCCCTCAGAGATTAAAATGGCCGCCACTCTAATACTCTTCCGGAAGGCGCTGAAGCAGGCCTGGGGAACCCAGAGCAGGATGAAGCCCATCAAATAGCTCGTGTGATCTGCTGTCGCTGGGACAGGGAGTGGGAAGTGGTGAGCGATTTTGTTATATCGTACTATATTAATTTATTCGATTCTTTTTGTTAGTTTTTATCGTTTTAAATGTGGTTTTATATTCTGAAAGCCGCCTTGAGTCACTGTGGGCAAATAGGTGGCAACATAAATAATAAAACAAAACAAAACAAAACAAAACATGGATCAGTTGCCAAGTATCCAAATTTTCATCACCTGACTATGGGGACGCTGCAGTGATGTGCTGCCGGTTTGCACCGGTTCTAGCAACCTGGTAGCACCAGTCAGCAGTTGGCCCCACCCCTTCCTGTCCTATATTGCCTTTGTTTGTAACTCAGCTGAATCCCGAGGCAGAGTCGATTGCCACGCACCAGCTGTTTCACTCACCAGCGCTTGACCATAAGTTTTCATGCTTAAAATTACCCGTTTTAGAATGCTCCGGGAGCAAAGCATGCACCCACAGAACTGGTAGTAAAAAAGGTTTGCATCCCACCACTGGGATGCTGCAACGGTCATAAGGATGAAAAATGGTCATACATCACTTTTTTCGGTGCCACTGTAATTTCGAATGGTCCCCAAATGAAGTGTGGTAAGTAGAGGACTACCTGGACATGGATATGCCTAAACTGGACCTCAGAAAGAAGTCTAGGAGGCTGAAAAGGGCCACTTACTGTCAGCTGGCAAGTAGAAGACGAGAATGATCATGAAGGCGATGAGGATGCAGGGAGTGACTATGTTGATGATGTAAAAGAGAGGTTTGCGCTTAATGATGAGGTAGAAGGTGACGTCCTGGTGTTTGTTGCTGTCTCGAGGGACCAACGAGTCGATGTTTTTGCGAGCCGGGCGGTGGATAATCGCCCATTCACCATTTTCTGATTGGGAAGAGAGAGGGGAAGGAGAGGGAGGGAGAGGGAGAGGGAAGAGAGAGAGAGAGAAGAGGAGATAGAGAGAAGAGAGAACAGAGAGAGAGAGAGGAAAGACAGAGAACAGAGAAGAGAAAGAGATAGAGGAGAGAGAAAAAGAGGAGAGAGAAAAAGAGAGAGGAGAGAAAGAGAAAAGAAAGAGGAGAGACAGAGAACAGAAGAGAAAGAGAAAGAGGAGAGAGAAAAAGAGAGAGGAGAGACAGAGAACAGAGAAGAGAAAGAGAGAGGAAAGTGAGAAAGAGGAGAGAGAAAGAGAGAGGAGAGAAAGAGAAAAGAAAGAGAAGAGAGAAAAAGGGGAGAGAAAGAGGAGAGAAAAAGAAAGATGAGAGAGAGAGAGACAAGAGAGAGAGGAGAGAGAGGAGAGACAGAGAAGAGAGAGAGAGAAAAGAGAGAAAGAAAAGAGACTGTGTGAGCCATGAAGCCGCTTAAAGAGACTATCCCACTGGCCTTTCCCAACCATTCCCATAATCCCAGGCAAATTTGAAGTCCAATAAACATGTATATTCAGAATAGAGCTAGAAGGGACCTTGGAGGTCTTCTAGACCGACCCTCTCCTTAAGTAGGAGACCCTATATACCATTTCAAACAAGTGGCTATCCAGTCTCTTAAAAACCTCCAGTGATGGAGTACCCACAACTATTGTTCTCACTGTCAGGAAGTTTCTCCTAGGATGCTTCTCTTCTGGATGAGTTTCCATCCGTTGCTTCTTTTCCTGCCTTCTGGGGCTTTGGAGAATAATTTAATTCCCTCTTCTTTGCGGCAATCCCTCACATATTGGAATGCTGCTATTATGTCACCTCTAGTCCCTTTTTTCCTCTAGGCTAGCCAAACCCAAATCCTGCAACTGTTCTTCATCTGTTCTTCATATATTTTAGTCTCCAGGCCCTTAATCAGGGGTGGGATTCAATTTTTTTAACAACCAGTTCTGTGGGCGTGGCTTAGTTGGTGGGTGTGGCTTGGTGGTCATGTGACTGGGTGGGCACGGCCAACTTGACATCACTCATGTCAAGGGGCGCTTCTCCTCGCCTGGCCTCTCATGACAGTGGGGATGCTGTGAAAAATGATCATAAGTCACTTTTTTCAGTGCCATTGTAACTTTGAATGGTCACTAAATGAACTGTTGTAAGTCAAGGATTACCTGTACAAAAATATAAAAAGCTTCTTTGCTTGCAAAAAGCTGCCCTAAATACCAATCATTAGATTAAAAATACCTGCAAGCCAGGGTTACAAGTCAGGCAGGGTGCCAGAGCACCTCGAGGAATTAAAATAGTTAAAATGCAGTGATAACTATCAGCAGCCAACTCTTGCTCATAAAGTGAAACCCTTTAGCAGAGAGGTCATTTAAGCTCTCCAGAAAAAGTACACCCAGGAAAAGCAATCCTTAGATCCATTTGCATCACTTAAAGACACCAGCTGGTCTCACTCACCTCACAAGATATCCTAAGGAAATCATCCAGATTTAAGGAAAGGTCACATGCCCCCCAGAAAGGCAGTAAAAAAAAATCAATGCCAAGCTTGCATCCTGCCTCTTGGAAGTACTCCCCAAAAGGACAGTGCCAAATACCACTAAAGCAGTGAAGGAAGACCCCCTCCCCAGATAGAAAAAGAAACCATGAGGCAGGAAAAAATTCAGACACAATACAAATAATTAAATCACAACAGTAGCTGTTGCTTGTTGAACCTGAATAGGGGAAATTCTCCCATCAATAAACACAGGATTAAACATCACTAAGCACAAAATTAACCTTCACCAAAAACCAGTTTTAGACCAAAACTCAGAAAGGGTATGTAAACTCACATTTGAATGTCATTCTTTCTAGCTAGCCAAGAAGCCTTGCTGAATGTCACTCATCTTGGTTCCCTGTCATGAAAAGCTTCTTTCTGACAGCTCTGCTTCGTTATTCAATTATTTCTTCAAAGTGCTGATTGTCCAGGGAAGTATTTCCTCTCAACAGCAGTGTAAAAATCTTAAAACAACCCTTCCCCTTTAAGAAAGCCCCAGAAGCTCCGGAGACAGGAAGTCTAGGCGTACTAGCAAGAATGTAATAAGGGTGGGAAAAAACAAAAGGAGATTGCTTCTAACTCCCGGTTCTCCGAACTGCGTAGAAAGTTAACAAGGGGTTCTATAGAACGGGTCAGAACCGGTAGAATCCCACCCCTGCCCTTCTCTGCACTTTTTCCAAGGTCTCAACATCTTTTTTGTAATGTGGTGAACAAAACTGGACAGAGCCCATAATGTTCCAAGTTTATCAATATCTTTTTGGATCCTCAGTTTGTCTTCTAGGGTATTAGCTATTCCTGCCAGTTTAGTGTCATCTGCAAATTTGAGGAGTTCCCCTTCTATTTCCTCATCCAAGTCATTAATGAAGATATCGAAGAGTCCTGGGCCTAAGATGGAGCCTTGTGGTACCCCACTGCTTACTTCCCTCCATGTAGATGTAGTACTGTACCATCAAGGACTACTCTCTGAGTACAGTTTGTCAGCCAGTTACAAATCCGCCTGATGGAAATGCAGTGGATCAGCTATCAAGATGGGGTGGGCAGAGCTACCTTCGGCTGCCCCAAATTCAGCAACGCAGTCATTGCCAAAGCAAAAACAAGAGATTCTTCAGTCCTTCCCTTTTAGAGGTGCTAGCGAGATTAGGGTCCCGTTATGTAGATCAGTGTTCGCCAACCAGTGGGCTGGGGACCACTGGTGGTCCGCAAGAAAATTTTGGTCACTCCCAAAGCAGTTAACCCAGGCTGTGCAGGAACACAAGGCTTGTGTCGCTTGCATTGAGAACAACACGAGGGAGTGAGGGGAGAGGGAAAAGGGTGGAGGGGGGAACTTGCCCCATGCACCCCATATGCCTTGCCTGGCCACTGGGCTGCTTTTTTCTGCTTCTTTCTTCTTCTGCTTTTGGTTGCATGCAAGGAAAGCAGCAAAAGTCTTTCTTTCTCTCCCCCAAACTCTGCCAGAAATGAGTCTTTGGGATCCTGCAAGGCATCCTGCTCCAAGAGGCTGTGCCGGCATGACAAGTCTCACAAAGACTCATTTCTCATGGAATTTGGGGAAGAGAAAGAAAGACTTCTACAGCTTCTGCTGCTTTCCTTGCATGAAGTCAAAAGTCTCTCTCTTTCTCCCCCTGAGAACAGAGCTGGAGACGGTATCCTGCGATCCCAAATAAAGATTGATCGATTGGTAGGAAAACGGGGTGGAGAATTTTCCTGCAGACTTTTTGGGGGATTTTCCCAGGATCTCTGGTCCACGGGATTTAAAATTATGAGTTTGGTGGTCCCTGGGGTCCAAAAGGTTGGTGGTGTAGATAATAGAACCTTCTCTGTTTAAAAAACATTAAAAAAAGCTTTTAATGTGGGGTTTGTTTGTTTGTTTTTTTGATTATGGAAAGAAGAAAATCATGTTGTAAACTTAGGGTGAGAGGGTAATATACAGTATAAATGTACTAGTAACTGCTGTTAAGAAGATAAAGAAGTCTTCTTCCTTTCCTCTTCCCTCCTTTGCCTCTCCTCCTCTAACTCTCCCTCCCGCTCTATCCTCCTCTCCCCCTCCTCTGCCTCCCCTCCCCTCCCCTCCATCTCTTCTTCTTCTCCTCTTCTTCTTGAAGGTCTCAAGTGATGACGCTCCCACAACTTCCGAGGGCAACTTTCTCCTTGTTTCCAGGTTGAATCTCTCTCCTTGATCAGTTTCCATCCATTATTCCTTGTCTGGCCTTCAGGTGCTTTGAACAATAGCTTGACCCCTTCCTCCTCTCTGTGGCAGCCCCTCAAATATTGGAAGACCGCTATCCTGTCTCCCCTGGTCCTTCTCTTTACTAGACTAGCCAGGCCCAGTTCCTGCAACCGTTCTTCATATGTTTGAACCTCCAGTCCCCTAATCCTCCTGGTTGCTCTTCTCTGCACTTTTTCTGGAGTCTCAACATCTTTTTTATAATGTGATGACCAAAACTGGATGCAGGACTCTAGGTGTGGTCCTACTAAGGCTTTATAGAGTGGTATTAGTGCCTCCCTTGGTCTCAATTGTATCGCTCTGTTAATACAATTTAGGGTTGCATTGGCTTTTTTGGCTGCCTCTGCACACGGCTGGCTCCTATTTAGCTGGTTGTCCACAAAGACTCCAAGATCCCTCTCACAGCTACTCATCATCCTTTCCTCTCCCTCTCTGTCTCTTTCCCTCTCACCTCTTCTGCCTCTCCCCGCTTTCTCTCCTCTCTCCTCTCCATCTCATCTCCCTCTCCCTCTTCATCTCTTTCCCTCTCCCCTCCTCTGCCTCCTCTCCCTCTCTCCTTCTCCTCTCTGCTCCATCTCATCTCCCTCTCCTCTCCTTCTACGTCTCCACTCCTCTGCCTCCTTTCCCTCTCCCCTCCCCTCCATCTCCTTCCTCTCCTTCTCTGTCTATCTCCCTCTCAAATCCTTTTTCTCTCCTCTCCCTCTCCTCTCCCTTTCCATCTCTTTCCCTCTCCCCTCCTCTCCCTCCTCTCCCTTCCTTTCTTTCTCTTCTCCTCCCTCTCCCTCTCTATCTCTGTCCCTCTCCCCCTCCTCTGCCCTCCTTTCTCTCTCTTCTCCTCCTCTCTGCTGTAGCTTCCTCTCCCTTTCCGTCTCTTTCCCTCTGCCCTCCTCTGCCCTCCTTTCTCTCCCACTCCACCCCATCTTATCTTCCTCTCCTTCTTTGTCTCTTTCCCTCTCCCCTCTGCCTCCCCTCCCCTCCTCTGCCTCTCTCCTCCTTTCTCCCTCCTCTCCATCTCCTCTCCCTTTCCATCTCTTTCCCTCTCCCCTCCTCTCTCTCTTTCCCTCTCCTCTCTGCTCCATCTCATCTTCCTCTCCTCTCTTCTCTCTCTCCCTCCCCTCTGCCTCTCCCCTCCTTTCTCTCCCCTCCCCTCCCCATTTCCTCTCCTTCACCCTTTCCTCTCCTTTTTTTTCTTGTCTTCTATTTCTCTCTTTGCATTTTTTCACATTATTTTTCCTTACTTCCTCTTTCAAAAATATGAATGCCTTGAAAGAAAAGCCAGGATTGCTGGAACAAATAATAAAATATACATCACAACAAACCAAACATTGCTTGGACCCCAAAGCCTGGTTAATCTTACAACCCACCAACCCAATTTGTGGCTTGTGGGAAATTGGCTGCTGTTTGAACCCTGTTCCTGTGACTTGAAAACCTCGGGTTAGACTGGCTTGTACGATCCAGCCTATTATGGCTGCATTTGCAAGCCAGAGTTAAGCCGACCATGGCTTGGGTAATGGGAAAACCACAGCAGCCGGCAAACATTTGTTACCTTTAAAACTTTCCTGCTCAATGTTGATCCATTCCACAAGATGCACGCGATTGTTCTTGTTAACTGATTTGAGCTGCAGGTCGATCTCATTGGCGTTGTACCTCAGGGAGCTGGTGAAGACAGAGAGAAGGTCTTGTAACATCTGGGCTGCCAAAGTAAGGTTGCTAACAGCACTTTCTGAAAATGCCCAAACCCGTGGATTGTTAAGAAGCAGAATAGGATAGGATAGGATAGAAAATAGAAATAAGAATAGAATAGAATAGAAAATAGAAATAAGAATAGAATAGAAAATAGAAATGAGAATAGAATAGAAAATAGAAATAAGAATAGAATAGAATAGAATAGAAATAAGAATAGAATAGAAAATAGAAATAAGAATAGAATAGGATAGAAATAGAATAGAATAGAATAGAAAATAGAAATAAGAATAGAATAGAATAGAACAGAAAAAGAATAGAATAGAATTAGAATAGAATTAGAATAGAATAAGAAAGAATAGCATAGAATAGAATAGAATAGAATAGAATAGAATAGAATAGAATAGAATTAGAATAGAATAGAAATAGAAAAGAAATAGAATAGAATAGAATTAGAATAGTGTCATGTACACTGATCGGAAGGAAGGCGCGAGACTCAGTGACTTTTTAGCTCTTTATTCATTCCGAGATCGGATCGGCTCGGCTAGGGTATGTGGTGGCTTATATTGAACTTGCCGGCCAAGCCGCGGCCAATGACACCGCTTCGAATCTCCCGCGATAGGTTTCCTCCAATCGCGGGGGATTCGCAGCGGGCCAATCAGTGCGGCTTGCTCGGCCAATCGGATTGCCGCACGTCCTAGCCAATCAGAAACGGGTATTTACAAGAATGCTAATGTACAATACAGAACAAATAGAATTAGAATAGAATAGAATAGAATAGAATAGAATAGAATAGAATAGAATA